TAGGGTGCTGGCAGATTACGGGCCTCCCATAGCTGCTGCCAGGCCCCTAATCTGCCATGGGCCCCTATATACCGCCTCCTCATGCTGCTGTCCAGAGTCTCTCATGGGTGTACGGCCATTGCTGTGTCTCATCGCCACATGTGCCATGTGCCACTTTCAGGTCTCCTCACACTGCTGGTGTGTTGAATTTTTTGACATAGGGTGCTGGCAGATTACGGGCCGGGCCTCCCTATAGCTGCTGCCAGGCCCCTAATCTGCCATAGGCCCCTATATACCGCCTCCTCATGCTGCTGCCAGGTCCAGAGTCTCTCATGGGTCCCTGTACGGCCTCCCATTGCTGCTGTCTCCATCGCCACACTCTGCCATGTGCCACTTTCAGGTCTCCTCACACACTGCTGTGTGTGTGAATTTTTTGACATAGGGTGCTGGCAGATTACGGGCCTCCCTATAGCTGCTGCCAGGCCCCTAATCTGCCATGGGGCCCCTATATACCGCCCCTCATGCTGCTGCCAGGTCCAGAGTCTCTCATGGGTCCCTGTACGGCCTCCCATTGCTGCTGTCTCCATCGCCACACTCTGCCATGTGCCACTTTCAGGTCTCCTCACACACTGCTGGTGTGTTGAATTTTTTTGACATAGGGTGCTGGCAGATTACGGGCCTCCCATAGCTGCTGCCAGGCCCCTAATCTGCCATGGGCCCCCTATATACCGCCTCCTCATGCATGCTGCTGCCAGGTCCAGAGTCTCTCATGGGTCCCTGTACGGCCTCCCATTGCTGCTGTCTCCATCGCCACACTCTCTGCCATGTGCCACTTTCAGGTCTCCTCACACTGCTGGTGTGTTGAATTTTTGACATAGGGTGCTGGCAGATTACGGGCCTCCCATAGCTGCTGCCAGGCCCCTAATCTGCCATGGGCCCCTATATACCGCCTCCTCATGCTGCTGCCAGGTCCAGAGTCTCTCATGGGTCCCTGTACGGCCTCCCATTGCTGCTGTCTCCATGCCACATCTGCCATGTGCCACTTTCAGGTCTCCTCACACTGCTGGTGTGTTGAATTTTTTGACATGGGGTGCTGGCAGATTACGGGCCTCCTATAGCTGCTGCCAGGCCCCTAATCTGCCATGGGCCCCTATATACCGCCTCCTCATGCTGCTGCCAGGTCCAGAGTCTCTCATGGGTCCCTGTACGGCCTCCCATTGCTGCTGTCTCCATCGCCACACTCTGCCATGTGCCACTTTCAGGTCTCCTCACACTGCTGGTGTGTAGAATTTTTTGACATAGGGTGCTGGCAGATTACGGGCCTCCTATAGCTGCTGCCAGGCCCCTAATCTGCCATGGGCCCCTATATACCGCCTCCTCATGCTGCTGCCAGGTCCAGAGTCTTCATGGGTCCCTGTACGGCCTCCCATTGCTGCTGTCTCCATCGCCACACTCTGCCATGTGCCACTTTCAGGTCTCCTCACACTGCTGGTGTGTTGAATTTTTTGACATAGGGTGCTGGCAGATTACGGGCCTCCCATAGCTGCTGCCAGGGCCCCTAATCTGCCATGGGCCCCCTATATACCGCCTCCTCATGCTGCTGCCAGGTCCAGAGTCTGTCATGGGTCCCTGTACGGCCTCCCATTGCTGCTGTCTCCATCGCCACACTCTGCCATGTGCCACTTTCAGGTCTCTCTCACTGCTGGTGTGTAGAATTTTTTGACATAGGGTGCTGGCAGATTACGGGCCTCCCATAGCTGCTGCCAGGCCCCTAATCTGCCATAGGCCCCTATATACCGCTCCTCCTCATGCTGCTGCCAGGTCCAGAGTCTCTCATCATGGGTCCCTGTACGGCCTCCCATTGCTGCTGTCTCCATCGCCACACTCTGCCATGTGCCACTTTCAGGTCTCCTCACACACTGCTGGTGTGTTGAATTTTTTGACATAGGGTGCTGGCAGATTACGGGCCTCCCATAGCTGCTGCCAGGCCCCTAATCTGCCATAGGCCCCTATATACCGCCTCCTCATGCTGCTGCCAGGTCCAGAGTGTCATGGGTCCCTGTACGGCCTCCCATTGCTGCTGTCTCCATCGCCACACACTCTGCCATGCCACTTTCAGGTCTCCTCACACTGCTGGTGTGTAGAATTTTTTGACATAGGGTGCTGGCAGATTACGGGCCTCCTATAGCTGCTGCCAGGCCCCTAATCTGCCATGGGCCCCTATATACCGCCTCCTCATGCTGCTGCCAGGTCCAGAGTCTCTCATGGGTCCCTGTACGGCCTCCCATTGCTGCTGTCTCCATCGCCACACTCTGCCATGTGCCACTTTCAGGTCTCCTCACACTGCTGGTGTGTTCAATTTTTTGACATAGGGTGCTGGCAGATTACGGGCCTCCCATAGCTGCTGCCAGGCCCCTAATCTGCCATGGGCCCCATTATACCGCCTCCTCATGCTGCTGCAAGTGCCATGGGTCCCACAGTCTCTCATGCCATGTGCCACTTTCAGGTCTCCTCACACTGCTGGTGTGTTGAAGTTTTTTGACATAGGGTGCTGGCAGATTACGGGCCTCCCATAGCTGCTGCCAGGCCCCTAATCTGCCATGGGCCCCTATACCGCCTCCTCATGCTGCTGCCAAGTCCAGAGTGTGTCATGGGTCCCTGTACGGCCTCCCATTGCTGCTGTCTCCATAGCCACACTCTGCCATGTGCCACTTTCAGGTCTCCTCACACTGCTGGTGTGTTGAATTTTTTGACATAGGGTGCTGGCAGATTACGGGCCTCCCATTGCTGCTGCCAGGCACGTAATCTGCCATGGGCCCCCGTACCGACTCCTCATGCTGTGACGTTGCAACAAGGTGGAATTCAACCCTACATATGTTTAGACCGCCCTTTACGAACAGCGAAAGGCCATCACCGATTTCCTGATGTTTAAAAAGCGGATAAAAAGGTACTCCCTGTGTAACTTAGATGTCAGCCATTGGCAGCTCATGCGTGACACCTGCGCTTGCTCAGGCCCTTTGAGGAGGCCACGCTATTCGTGAGTCGGCAGGACTATGGGATGAACGACGTCATTCCTCTGTTGCACGTCCTGGAACAAATGCTGTTAACAATGGCTGGTCAGGGTGCGGTAGACGTGGCGCACAGATCTCAACGCCACATGACCCCTGTGGGGGCAGGACAGGAAGAAGAGGAGGAGGTAGAGGAGGACATTGGTGCTCAGGAATTATTGAGTGAAATGGGTGGTTTTTCCACTCAGCGGACAGGAGTGGAGGAGCAGGAGCATCTGGTAGAGGAGGGAGGAGGAGGAGACAGAGGACCCAGACGCACCGTGGCAGTATGCTGTGGAGATGGAGGCAGGGAGTCCCTCGCATTCCTTGGCACAAATGGCCCATAGCATGCTCGGTTGCTTGCGTAGCGACAGCCGAATAATAACCATCAGACAGAGGGATGACTTTTGGCTGTCCACCTTGTTGGACCCTCGCTACCGTTCAAAAATGGTGGCCTTTTTCACACCTGCTGAGAGGGAGGCCAAAATAACGTACTATAAAAACCACCTATGTAGTCAGCTGGTCTCTGCCTGTCTGCGCCAACGTCCATCCTCAGACACTGTGGGCCCTGTGCGCTTGCGTTCCGCTGCCATGGCAGCAGGGGAGGGGTGGGGTGGTAGGAGCAGTGGCAGCTCCACCAGCAGCGGCTGCCTCAGTCTGCAGTCGATGATGAGTAGCTTTCTTCACCAGCGCAGTGAGGAAACTACTAACCAGCCGCAGCAGCAGCAGCAGCAGCAGCAGCATCAGGTGGACCTGGAGCAGGACCTCAAACAACAGGCTTAGGCCTACTTGGACAGCACCCTGCCAACCGAGGTAGACAATCCCCTTGAATACTGGGCAACGAAACTTGACCTTTGGCCCCAACTAGCTGAATTTGCCCTTGAAAGGCTGTCATGCCCGGCCAGTAGCGTGGCATCGGAGCGCGTGTTTAGTGCGGCAGGAGGTATTGCAACTCCGCGGAGGACACGACTGTCCACCCAAAGTGTGGAGAGACTGACGTTTGTGAAAATGAATCAGGCGTGGATTAGTCTGGATTTCAAACCACCAGTTCCTGACACAACTGACTAAATCCGCCATGAATCATGCCCCAAACATGTGCCACTTTCAGGTCTCCTCACACTGCTGGTGTGTTCCATTTTTTGTCATAGGGTGCTGGCAGATTACGGGCCTCCCATAGCTGCTGCCAGGCCCCTAATCTGCCATGGGCCCCTATACCGCCTCCTCATGCTGCTGCCAAGTCCAGAGTCTCTCATGGGCCCCTGTACGGCCTCCCATTGCTGCTGTCTCCATCGCCACACTCTGCCATGTGCCACTTTCAGGTCTCCTCACACACTGCTGTGTGTATTCCATTTTTTGTCATAGGGTGCTGGCAGATTACGGGCCTCCCATAGCTGCTGCCAGGCCCCTAATCTGCCATGGGCCCCTATACCGCCTCCTCATGCTGCTGCCAGGTCCAGAGTCTCTCATGGGTCCCTGTACGGCCTCCCATTGCTGCTGTCTCCATCGCCACACTCTGCCATGTGCCACTTTCAGGTCTCCTCACACTGCTGGTGGGTTCCATTTTTTGTCATAGGGTGCTGGCAGATTACGGGCCTCCCATAGCTGCTGCCAGGCCCCTAATCTGCCATGGGCCCCCGTACCGAATCCTCATGCTGCTGCCAGGCCCGTAATCTGTCATGGGCCCCTGTTGTCGCTTGTTGGCATATTCCGCTCGTTCAGATGCTCCTTCTCCTGCTACTCCTCTTCACGGATTCCGTCAGCAGTCTTTCTTGGAATCCGTTTCCAAGAGACAACAGTTTGCGAGCACGCACCAGACGGTGCAGAAACTGAACGTCCTCCTGTCCAAGTTGCTGCTGCCAGGCTCGTAATCTGTCATGCGCCCCTGTACCGCCTCCTCATGCTGCTGCCAGGTCCAGAGTGTGTCATGGGCCCCCGTACCGACTCCAAATGCTGCTGCCAGGCCCGTAATCTGTCATGGGCCCCTGTACCGCCTCCCCATGCTGCTGCCAGGTCCAGATTGTGTCATGGGTCCCTGTACGGCCTCCCATTGCTGCTGCCAGGCCCGTAATCTGCCATGGGCCCCCGTACCGACTCCTCATGCTGCTGCCAGGCCCGTAATCTGCCATGGGCCCCTGTACCGCCCCTCATGCTGCTGCTGCAGGTCCAGAGTGTGTCATGGGTCCCTGTACGGCCTCCCATTGCTGCTGTCTCTATCGCCACACTCTGCCATGTGCCACTTTCAGGTCTCCTCACACTGCTGGTGGTTTCCATTTTTGTCATAGGGTGCTGTATGGCCTCCCATTGCTGCTGCCTCCACCGCCACACTGTGGCTCCACACTCTGGTTTTGGCCCCGTGACTGCCCAAATGAGTGAAGTGTGCGGTGATTCTAAGATCGACGGCACTCATCTGCATGTCATACTGCCTGACAGTATTATTTCTCTTCCCCAGCAGACTCCAAGGGCATTTAAATTAAAGGTACAGTGTTCAGCACTAATATTAAGTCTCTCTGAAGCCTAGAAACACCCTTTTTTAAGTTAAATTCACAGCGAATATATTCGACTCGAATCGAAATTTTTCCACGAATTCGCCGAATCAGTCGAATCGAATTTTTGAATACTTCGCTCATCTCTATTAATAAACCTACCTTTAATTGCACCTCCTTGTGTGTCTGGCTACTCGCTCCCTGACACTACATGAATGCCATGAATCCCGACTGTGCAGGTACGCCCTCGCTCCCTATGTTTGTTGCCAGACTTGATCAGCAGAATCTCTTTTTGGGTCAGTTCATTCAGGCATTGCAGACGCTGCTTGCACGCACAGCGCACCTTACTCCTGGTGCCATTAGGCCGGTTGTCACTCCTGTGGTCGCTCCGGCTGTTGATCCGGTTGTTGCGCCTACCTCCGCATCTGCTGCCGCACCTGCGGTGCCCAGAGGTATGACTGGTTCAGCCCCCCCTTCCACAGCGCTTTGGGGGTGAGCCGAGTCAGTGTCGGGGTTTCCTTAACCAAGTGGGCATATATTTTGAATTGATACCCCACGCTTTTCCTACTGAGAGGTCAAAGGTGGGCTTTCTAATCTCGCTGCTTTCGGACAATGCCTTGGCCTGGGCAAATCCCGTATGGAAGACCGATAACCCTGTGGTTCACGAGTTTACCGGTTTTGTTGCCTCTTTTCGTACGGTATTTGATGTGCCTGCTTGTTCCGCCTCTGCTGCTAAGCTGCTCATGTCCATGCATCAGGGTTCACGAACCGTTGCCGAGTACGCCATAGAATTTCGTACCCTGTCGGCAGAGGTGGGTTGGAACAATGAGGCTCTGGTGGCTGCTTTCTCTCATGGTCTCTCAGATGCGTTGAAGGACAAGATTGCAGCCAAAGAACTGCCTGTGGAGCTCGAAGCACTCATTTCCTTCCTAATCCTGATTGACACCAGGCTCAGGGAGAGGCCTTCACTTAAGGAGCGTCTGCGGAGGCCTCCTAACCGATTGGCGCCTACGTTTTCTGTCCCACCCATTCCTCCCACGCCTCCTGGGGACCGTTTGTCTGACGGTGAGCCCATGCAGCTGTGGTTTGCTCGCCTTTCCGAAGGGGAGCAGGCCTCTCAGCGTCGGGAGGTTCGCTGCCTGTACTGTGGTCTCGGAGGGCATTTTCGGCATTCTTGTCCGGTCCGCCCGGGAACGCTTGCACCTGAGATCCTATCGGGGGCAGATCTTGGGTGGAGTTTCCTCGTCCCCGGTTTCCCGCAAAGATAAACCGCTAATCACTGTTGTCCTCTCTTGGGCAGAAGGCTCGATGATGGCCCAGGCGTTGGTAGACTCTGGTGCTGTCGGGTTGTTCATGGACAGTTCGTTTGCTGCCAAGTACTCCACTCCTCTGCAGGCTCGAGTTACTCCATTGGTCCTCGAGGCGATAGATGGCAGGCCCCTGCAACCGCCGCAGGTTACCCACGAGACCCTGCCGGTTGAAGTGGCTATTGGGGCTGTTCACAGGTAGTTGGCCTGTTTCCAGGTAATTTCTTCCCCGCATTACTCCGTGGTTTTGGGATATACCTGGCTTCAGAAGCACAATCCGACCTTTGATTGGCGGTCGGCCAAGATTCTCTCGTGGTCTCCACAGTGTGGGCGGGTTGCATCCATGGGCCGGTTAAGGTGTTGTGTGCCTCCTCGGACTCTGTGTTGCCCACTGACTATGGAGAGTACCTGTACGTGTTTGACAAGGTGTGCGCCGGTGCCCTGCCTCCTCATCGTCCATACAATTGTGCCATAACCTTACAACCTGGTGCCACTCCTCCGCGTGGCAGGGTGTATCCTCTTTTGGTTGTGGTGAATCTGGCTCTTTCTTTGTGAAAAAGAAGGGCGGTGAATTGAGGCCTTGCATTGATTTTAGGGGTCTCACTCAAATCACGATTAAGAATGCTTACCCAATTCCGTTGATTACCGAATTGTTCAACCGCCTCAAGGGAGCAACGGTCTTTACTAAACTCGACCTTAGGGCTGCGTACAACCTTGTTCGGATCAAGGAGGGCAACGAGTGGAAGACCGCGTTCAACACCAGAACCGGCCACTATGAATCCCTGGTTATGCCCTTCGGGTTGTGTAACGCGCCCACGGTCTTTCAGGAGTTCATTATTGATGTCTTTCGTGACTTGTTGCAGCAGTGCGTGGTGGTTTACTTGGAGGACATCCTGGTTTACTCTGCGTCTATGGAGTCTCATATCCAGGATGTTAAGCGGGTGCTGGAACGGTTACGTGAGAACAAACTTTTCTATAAGCTCAAGAAGTGTGAATTTCACCGATCTCAGGTTGCCTTTTTGGGCTACATCATTTCCGCTGTGGGATTTTCCATGGACCCTCAGAAGGTTTCGGTGGTTCTGCAGTGGCCTCGTCCCAGTGGTCTTCGATCCATTCAGCACTTTTTGGGATTCGCCAACTATTATCGGAAGTTTATCAGGAACTTCTCCACGCTGGCCAAGCCTCTCTCAGATCTGACCAAGAAGGGCAGTAATCCCCACGAGTGGTCATCTGAGGCCATCTTAGCTTTCGAAGCTCTGAAATCCGCCTTCACTTCGTCTCCGATACTGTCTCATCCCAATCCTGGGTTGCCTTTTGTCCTCGAGGTTGATGCATCTGAGACGGGAGTAGGCGCCCTCCTGTCTCAGCGTCGGTCGCCCGATGGACCCCTACTTCCCTGTGGGTTCTATTCCAGGAAGCTTTCCTCCGCAGAATGCAACTACCAGATTGGAGACAGGGAGTTGTTGGCCATTATTCAGGCTCTCAAGGAATGGAGGCACCTGCTCGAGGGTTCTGCGGTTCCGGTTCTCATTCTCACTGACCACAAGAACCTGACGTATCTCTCGGAAGCTAAGAGGTTGACGCCCCATCAGGCCAGATGGGCTCTGTTCTTGTTATGTTTTAACTATGTGGTCTCCTATTTGCCTGGCTCCAAGAATGTCAGGGTTGATGCCTTGTCGCGGCAAGACTCTGAGCTGTCCAGGGAGGACTCTGAGCCGACCTCAGTCATACCTCCAGATCAGATCCTGGCTGCCATTCGGACCAGCCTGACTTCTCCACTTGGGAAGCAGATTTTGGCGGCTCAAACTGATGCTCCCTCTGAGAGACCGGCTGGTAGATGTTTCGTACCTGAGGGATTGCGCACCCGCTTGCTGCGTACCTACCATAACTCCAAGACTGCCGGTCATCCAGGGAGGAACCAGTTGTCCTGGGTCATTTCTCGTTTATTCTGGTGGCCATCTCTCCGTTCCGACATCGCCTCATATGTAGCGGCATGTTCTGTCTGTGCCCAGAATAAATCTCCTCGGCATCTTCCATTACACTTTCTGCAACCCATTCCCAATGGGGAGCGTCCCTGGTCACACCTGGGCATGGATTTTATTGTAGACCTCCCTGCGTCTCGAGGCCATACGGTCATTCTTATGGTCATTGATCGTTTCTCCAAGATGTGCCATTGTGTTCCGTTCAAGAAATTGCCGACTGTGCAAGAACTGGGTACGGTTTTCGCCAGGGAGATCTTTCGCTTGCATGGGTTGCCTAAGGTGATTGTCTCGGACCGTGGGAGACAGTTTGTGTCCAGGTTCTGGTGCACCTTCTGCTCCCAGTTGGGTATCAAGCTCTCATTCTCTTCGGCCTACCACCCGCAGTCCAATGGGGCTGCAGAGCGTTCCAACCAGGCCCTGGAACAATTCCTTTGCTGCTATATCTCAGACCATCAAGACAATTGGGTCGATCTCCTGCCATTGCATTCGTGTCCTGTCTCTTGCACAGCAGCAAGCTCCTGTTTAGCTACTCATTGCTTTCCTGGATACCGACTCGGCTTTGGCTGAGACTCCTCCTGGCTTCTGACCCCAGCTCTGGCGACCATTCTTCCTGGCTCCTGATCCCAGCTCTGGTGACGATTCTTCCTGGCTCCTGATCCCAGCTCTGGCGACCATTCTTCCTGGCTCCTGATCCCAGCTCTGGTGAAGATTCTTCCTGGCTCCTGATCCCGGCTCTGGTGACGATTCTTCCTGGCTCCTGATCCCGGCTCTGGCGACGCGTCTTCCTGGCTCTTGATCCCGGCTTTGGCTACGATTTCTGCTGTTGGACTTACATAGACTCTTGTCTTATTTTGATATTAATAAACCTACCTTTAATTGCACCTCCTTGTGTGTCTGGCTCCTCGCTCCCTGACAGTTTATCAAACTATATGTCATCCACTTTAGATTAGATCTACCTTAAATGAGATTTCTGGATCCACTCAAAGCAGCAAATGTCTGTAAATAACATTGTTTGCACCTCTGCAGGTACCCACTTTCTGCATTATTTTATAGCACAGAATTTGTAAGTTACTGTTGTAGCTGAGTGCCCATCACCATGCTCAGATGCAGGCGCATTTCTCACTATTCCCTGGGTTCTGGACATGCCCAGGGAAGAAAAGTTTATTCTCTTCCCGCCGTCAACAGCTCAGAGAGGCCTCAACTGATGAAAAACAGAAGTAGCTGGGAAAGTGATAAGCCAGGTGAGAGGCCCCCCACTGTCAGAACTGGTATAACTAAAAGTAGTAATATTACAATACAAATACAGAATGTTACCAATACAAAGAGATGACTACAGGAAAGAAAGTTACAGAAAAGAAACATAGAATAATACATTGTGCAGAAATCCTGATGACTGGGCTTCCAAAGAGAAAAGGGACAGAAATGGAGCAATGGCTTACTTTTATACCCCCTCCCACTCAATTCCAGGTAAAGGCACACCCTTCAATAAGTTCCAGTATTTTGCCATTTCTGTTCAAAGGGGGGGCTCTGTGACTTGTGAAAGATATTGTCCAACTGTAGCTCATTATGATATGCCAATGTTCAGTGAAGCATACCTCCTTCGAAGCCAGTTCCCCCAGGAAGATCTCTGACAATACTCCCTAGGAGGTGTTAGAAATCACGACTATAGGGCTTATTCAGCCAGGTGGCCATACTGCCATAAAACCATACAATAAAGCTTCAAAGAGG